TTGGACCCGTGGGTTACACGGGCTACTCGGCCCGTGTACTTAAAAAAAAATGCTATTGCCTATTGGGAAGGATTCTAATATCTTTGTTATGTACTTGTGTTGTAGACTTTAATGAATTTCTCATTTATGGACTTTTGAATTTAAATTATGTTTGAATGTTTGACTATTTTGAACTTTTGGTTATGTGTGTCTTGAACACTTTGAATGTTTTATTAAAATTGTGTTGAAAACTTGTAAAATTTGAATGTGGAATCATGAATGTTGTGTTGGAATTAGGAAGTATGCCATTCTAAATAATTTATTTATTATAACTTATAACAAATTAACAATAAAATAAATGTAATTTTTTTTTAAAGTAGTACGGGTTGACGGGCTGGCCCGTTTAGCCCGTCAACCCGTACCCAACGGGCTAGGTTGGGAAAATCCCAACCCGAATAGAAAACGGGCTGGCTCGTCCCGTCCCATTTTCTTCCAACCCGTGATGGGCCAGCCCATATGGGACGGGCTGGCCCGTATTGACAGCTCTACCGTCCCTGGGCAAGTCTGCCCAAGGCTGGCGCACAGGGCCCCCATATTTAAAAAATAGTATATATATATATACACACACACACACACACAAACCGCAGCCGCGGCGTTCCACCAACTCTCAAACCCTACCCTAAATCCTAATCTAGCGGCGCAGCAAAGAACAGACATAGAAACAGAGCGACAAACAATTTCCATAGGTAATTGAAGAAATTTTAATATTAAATTTAAGTTATTGACTATTGAGGCTGCGAATTCTTTAATTTGAGTAGTAATTTAATTATTAAAATATTTAATTTGGTTGTTCATTTGTTTTTTTGTTGTTTTTTTTTTATTTTTATTTTTGACGTCTTCAAGACAGTGTAATTCAGTGAATTGATGCAAAGACGACAGACTCAACTAGTGTGCTACTGATTCTTCAATTCTTTTTTATCATTCAAATTTTCAAGTTCTTCAATTTTCTTAACAGGTAATTAAAATTACGTATTGTTTCATAATTCTTGTTTGTGTTTTATTTACATGACTTAATAATTCCGATTTCAGAATAATATATTCAAGAATTCGTTTCTTGATTAATTATTTATTGATAGAGTTTCTAAATGAATTTTTATTTTTTTCTTAGGATTTTATGTCTTCTAGAAAATATTTATGTGGGTTTGAGAAGCATAAAAAGAAAAAAGAATTGAGCAACTTGTTAAACAGAAAAAGACAGAGAGGAGAGAGGGAAAGATCAGGATCATCTTATTCCTTCTTCTTCATCATAGTACAATGATCTATATATACAAGATACAATGAAGAGATATAATAATAGAGAATAATTACATCCGTTACAGACGTTACAAAGTTATTATTAATGTCCACCATAAATCTTATTTACAACACTCCCCCTTGGACATTATTTGACAATGATCTTGCCTCGTTAAAAACTTGCTAGGAAAACCCTGTGGGAAAAACCTAGACAAGAAAATAGTACAATAAAAAATATTCATGCCTCATTAAAAACTTCACTAGGAAAACCACGTGGGAAAAACCTAGTTGAAGAAAAGAGTACGTGATATATGTAAAAACATATATTGTATTAGTCGCCTCATTGTCGCGATCACCTTCCGCTTGTCTGATCGTTGATCAACTGGCTGGATTGCGAGAAGTCTCCACCGCGGCAGGCCTCAGGATTTCCGATCGGTGATGGCCGCGAAGATAGATTGGCGCGACGGCTGAGGCGACTGGATCGGAAGCGGACAAAGAAGCACACAATTCGCTCCAATTCCTATTTTTGTGCTTATCTTATGGGTATGCTTACGTTTGTTTTTTCTCTTCCGACGGTGTTTTTTTTTTTTTTTTTTTTTTTTAACGCAGCAGTTGCCGGATTCAGTATAGGCTGTTCACCGGGAATGTAGAGCGAAGTGAAGAAAAATCCTAATTCACGCAAACCACTCTTGGTAGAACACTCGTGCTGATAACGTGTTAAACAGAAAAAGACAGAGAAGAGAGAGGGAAAGGTCAGGATCATCTTATTCCTTCTTCTTCATCATAGTACAATGATCTATATATACAAGATACAATGAAGAGATATAATAATAGAGAATAATTACATCCGTTACAGACGTTACAAAGTTATTATTAATGTCCACCATAAATCTTATTTACAACACAACTAACTCAATCTCAAAAGGGAGCTCTTGAAAATTCATTACAGAAAAAAAAAAAAAAAAAAAAAAACTCAAATAGATGAGCAAAGAACAATTGTTAGATGTTAATCTTCATATAGAAGATCAAGATGATTGTGAGATTGGAAAGAATTTAAATGATGTTGTGCACAACGATGATATGTATCACTGTGACAATGAAAATAATAAGAATGTTGATAGTTGTTTAGATGGTGTTAGTCACAGTGATAAACCAAATTATTCGCGTTTATTTGACATATATGACCCAAGAAATTGGAATGTCCTTGATTCTAAATTAATAGATATTCTTGTGAAAGATGGTCCTAAAATAGCTTTATCAATAAATAAAGATCCTAAAGATAAATTCTTTAGAAGATTTTTATATGCATTTTACACAAGATATTTGCCACTTTTTAAATGAAATTTTAGATGTATTTTTTATACAATATTTATGTTTTGAAATTTTGACACAACTTTTTAAACAACTATTATTTATATATAGAAATTACTTGATAAAAAAGACCCAAATTAAGATATTGCACAGGACCCTAATTTTATTGGAACGGCCCTGACAATAGTTGGCCGAGAAATTGGACGACATAATTACTAAATATGATACAAATTACCTATTCATGCACCTAATTAAAAATTTTTAATAGTCATAAATCAAATGTGATTTATGTATAATAATCAAGGGATGGAATTTTCTCTATTTTATCAATATATACTTTGTTGTTGTCTTTGTGAGGGTACCTAATAAGCGAAATTTGTAATGAAAGAATATACTCTTACAAGTATAAGAATAATTTTCAGTAATAAAATTTGTTAAATTTCCAAATATATATTGCAGGCTTTTGCAATAATCTTTTAGGCAAAAAAAAAAAAAAAATTGGATTGTACGTCGAAATTCCAAACTTTTCGAAAGTGTTGCAAAACATTTCTTATAGGAATTGAAAAATAGTAATTTTAGTCTCTAAATGTCTCTTAATTCAAATTTTAATGTAACTAAAATATTAAGTTTGTTTTGTATTTGTAACTTTATGAGAAAAAGATAATCTTCGTGTGAGATCGTTTTACGAGTCTCAATCCATGAGACGAGTCGAATCTTTGATTAATGAGTTAAATATTTGGTTTTATTAATCAAAGATCCGACCCGTTTCACGGATTGAGACCCATGAGACGATCTCACACAAGTTTTTACCATGAGAAAATAGATAATAGATAGGAAGTAACAAATATGCATTCATAAGTGGATCAATACAATTCAAATTTGTCATCTTAGTTAGTTGCTCGACTTAATTTATAACTTGTTCAATAATCAAAGATCGAATTTGTAAATATTGAAAGAGGGGTAAATTTATAATTTGAGGACAATTGAAGTACCAAAATTGAAAATTATTGGTGCATTTAGTAATTAATTGGATAAATGGATTATTTTTCTAGAAATAGAAAATGGAAGAAATACTAAGAGCATCTTCAATATAAGGTTTTTCATGATTTTTGAAATAGTAAAAAATTAGAGGGTAGGTTTTTAACAAATATGGGGAGTGATTTTTTGTTCATTTTTTCTCCTGCAATTTTTTTTTTTTAGTTTTTTGTGGGACTTGTTAGGAGAGAGGAAAGTGAAAACAAAGACAATTGAAGTCACGTGGTTGGCAAGAAGCGCGCCCAGTAAGAGCATGCTATACACACGTCTACCGGGCGCGTATTATACACGTGCCTATTGGGCGCGTATTTCAATGCTTTTTTGTTTTGTATTTTTTTTTTAAAAATTGTTGTCAGCCTTTTTTTTTTTCTTGTCTTCCTCTCTTTTTCCTAAATAACACTTCAAAAATCACAAAAAATAAAAAAATAAAAAAAAATTAAAGACTATTGGAGATGATCTAAATGCGTTTTCTTGTTATTTTTCTAAATAAGAAAATGTAAAAGAACATTTCTCTAATTTCGAAAATTTCTTATAATAGATAGATTATCTAAATAGGAGGAATGGATGACGCCTTAAAAAGTTGGTCACTTTGACTTCTAGCAACAGTTTTTAGCTCTTTCTTATTTATGCTTTCCCTTTTCTTTCTTTTTTCCTTTTTGTTTTTCAGTTTTTTTGTCCCCACCTCCCCCTATTTTCAGCATTCTTTTTCCCATTTCATCTCATCTCGTTGTTTAGATATTTTTTTTTTTCATCCATATTTCCTTATTATTTTTCATGGCAAATAATAATTTTAACACCACAAACTCTCCAAAATTACATTTTGTAACCATTAAGATAATTTAATTTAAATTAGAGTAATTTTTTTAAACACTCATGATTGTTTACAAAGTAGTATATGTTCTATACTTAATCTTTTTTCTATCTCAAAGAATCAATTTGCTGACGAACCCTGAACCTCGGACAGTATGCTTGGTGCGTGCCATCTACTATGCTTTAGTTGCGCTGACTGGGCTGCTTCTTACCGTGTCAGGTCGTCTCCATCACTGTAGTTCGATCCTATGACCACACTTATGTGGTTATTTCCTCAATTTCGAATTTTAGTATTAATGTTAATGCAATAGGTAAGAGGTTCACGACCTAATTTGCAATAGTTTTCAGTTCTTGCAAAAAGCCCCCTTCATGAATTAAATGCGGCTTATATCGGAAAATTAAGTTTAGAAAGTGAAATTGAAAATTTGGGATAAAGTGACAAGAAGTAAACATGCCGGTACAGCGGTGCCTTTCCTCTATATATTCACTCTTTTTCTTCTATCTTTTTATTCATTCTTCTCTCTCAAAAACCAAATCTTTTATTCATTCTCAGAACTACTCTACTGGAATCCATGGCCAAGAGAGATGAAGGTGGTTGCGAGTCGAAGGTTTTCAGGAAGAATGACGGTAGAAATGCAAGCAAAAGAGATGAAAAACATGGGTGTTCAAGAAGTAGCAGAAAAAAGACAAGCAAAATAAAGAAATGGAGAAGGGAATACATCTCTTATGTTACCAAAATGCGAGGGGGATCAAGAAACTCAGGCAAGAACCAGGGAGGAGCATCAATGGCAGACGAAAGAGAAAGAGTGACGGAGCGAGGGGGTTCAATAAACTTAGGCAAGAACCAGGGAGGAGCATCAATGGCGGCGGACGAAAGAGAAAGAGTGACGGAGCGAGGGGGTTCAATAAACTTAGGCAAGAACCAGGGAGGAGCATCAATGGCGGACGAAAGAGAAAGAGAAAGAGTGACGGAGCGAGGGGGTTCAAGAAACTTAGGCAAGAACCAGGGAGGAGCATCAATGGCGGACGAAAGAGAAAGAGAAAGAGTGACGGAGCTTCTAAGCAAATTCAGGGCAATATGCAAGAATCTTTCGCAAGAAAACAAAACCCAGAGAGAAACAAAGGCTTCCGAGTCGTCTGTGATGAGAATCGACATCTTAGCAGCGAAAGAGGTGAAGAAAATGAGGTCCCTCTACACTCCGAGAACCAATTCCCCAGGCCCAATTCCAGGAGTGGAAGTGGGGGACACATTTCGTTACAGGATGGAGCTCAACCTAGTGGGCCTTCACAGCCATTTACAGAAAGGGATAGATTTCGTCTCCAATGGCGCCGGGGAAAGAATCGCGACGAGCGTAGTGGCCTCGGGCGGGTATGCCAACGAAACGAGCGACCCAAACGTGCTGATCTATTGTGGGCAGGGCGGGGACATGGTTTCTGGGGTCCAAAATGAAGATCAGAGCTTGAATAACCCTGGAAATTCTGCGCTCAAGAACAGCATTAGAGTGAAGAATCCTGTGAGGGTAATCCGAGGAACCAAGGAAAGGCCATCATCTTCTTATGCAACCACGTTTGTATATGATGGGCTGTACGAGGTTGTGGCATTCTGGAGAGACACTAGCCGCAGTGGCAAGTTGCTGTACAAGTTCAAGCTGGTGAGGATTACTACTGGATCATCCTGATCACTTTCATATATTTTGCTAGTTTTAACTTTTAATTAGTGGGTTAAAATAAAATCGAAATTTGTAATCAGATTGGGATTTCTTTTTTCGAACTGTTACTCTTAAGTTTCGAACTTTAATCGTTCCAAATACTGTCTGCTAAATCAGTAAGTTAAGTTTGTGTTGCAGATTTTTAACTTTTTTAGCATAGGTGAAGTTGCGCCAAGACTAATCATATTTCTACCTGGTAAGATTTCAAGAAGATAAAGCAATTTTTGAATACCTGATTAAGTTTGGGAAATTGATCTGATAAATGAAATGCATAATTCCAATAAAATTGATCAGATGACGTGGGTGGAGAGCTGTTGCACAGTTCTAGAGTGCGTTATGTTCTTGATTGTCGTTTCGATTTCGAAATTTGAATTTGAACTTTAGCCTAATTATGGAGTCATGAACAAGGTTTCGGTTTTGATTCCTCAAATGGCCAAATTAAAATTGGAATCTTATATTAAAGTTTTGGTTACTGTAAAAACGGTGAGTGTTTTTTTTTTTTTTTTTCTTTTTAGTGTTTTGTTTTAGAAAGGATTCCAAAGGATTGAAGGAATCTCTGTTGCAAAGGCCAGGCGTGAGCCTGGCCTTTGCGCCAGTCTACTGGCAGTAGCCAGTAGCCAGTGGCCAGTAAGCTACTGGCAATAGCCCAATGAGCAGTGGCCTGCTGTGGATTCCAATTTTGGTTCGGTCTAACAGTGCACGGTTCAGTTTGAATCGAACCGTGTGGTTAATATGGAATACATGCTGAGCTTGCGGCATGACGCACACATGTGCTTCATGCATTGGTTGAGGTGATGACAATCCTACTTATCCCACGTGCTTGGAGTATTTTTACATATTGTATGAATGTGATGTAACTATACAATTTGTTCGGGTTAGGCTTCTCTTTAACAATCAAGTCTCATGCTCAAGTAAGTTCTTCTTGACCTCACATGATCGGGAGGTACAATAGCTTAACACCATGAGGAGAGTGAATTTTTTTTCTTTTTCACTACTGGAAATCATGGAATTTCCGACCACCTGAAAGTGACCTTAAATCAAGTCAAAAGCCTTGTTCCGACCACTTTTGGTATTCGGAAAAACCTTTGTTGCTATTTCCGACCACTTTTTGGTTTCAACTTGATTTAAGATCACTTTCAGGTGGTCGAAAATTTTATAATTTCCAGTAGTGTTTATTTTTATTTTCCTCTAGGTCAGTAGTGGGTTAAATAAAAATATAAAATGACTATTCTAACCCTGCGATAAATGGAATTTTTTTTTGGATCACAAATGGATGGAGATTGAGCTGAAAAAATCATTTGTGCTAAAAAAATGATAGTCGTAGAATAAGTTTGCAATTTAAAAGTCATAAAGTAATTATGTTAGTGCCACAATACTAGTGGGACTTTACGTGAGAAACTCTTATACAAGACATCTGGACTATTACTTGAGAAAAGTTGGTAGTTAACAATCAAATTTAATTTCTTCTTTAGTGTTGACTTGGAAACAAAAGTTTGCGGATTTGTGGACATATTCTTCCCAGGATTTATGGATATATAGTAAATGTATTTGTTGCTAGCTTATCTTCTAATAAGTTTTAACATTTTTTCACATAAATTTATTTTAATTTTTTGGGTGGCAAGTTTATATATGAGAAATGAAATATATACCAAGGCGTGTTCGGTTAAAACACTAGAATTGAAATTAAAATTGAAATCAAATATTTTGTAACTGTGACGGGTTTAAAGAAAAAATATATTTGTTTGGTAGTAAATATGAATTGGAATCAAAATAAATAAATAAATAATTAATTATAATTAAAATAAATAAATATATAAAAATATATAATACGTATATATACACATACCTTGTGGTTTGATCATTGATAACATCACTGATGCTTTCTATAAAGAAAGTCTCAAGTTCGAATTTCATCCTAATCAGGGTTCGCATAATTTGTTGAGCGAATGTTATAAAGGAACAAAAATAGGCAATCAAACATGATAATAAATATCAAATTGAGTTAATACCCAAAATCGTCCTCGACTATAGTGGTTTTTCTCAATTTCGTCCTAAACGACTTTGGTGACCTAATATCGTCCCAGACTTTTGTGTTTCGCTCAATTTCGTCCTCCATTTGTTATTCCGTCAAATTGGTGTTAAATAAATGGACAATTCAGTAATGTCAATATTGATCTCTCTTTACTTTCAACTTGTGAAGTGCGAAATTCCTCTTTCTTGTACGAATTACACCCAGAATTACTCCCGGACCTGCAAATCAAATTTTATATTCGCAGTTTTAGGAGTAATTCGTAAAAAAAAAAAAGAGATTTCGCAGTTCACATGTCTATGAGTAAAGAGATGCCAATATTAAAATTACTTAATTGTCTATTTATTTAACACCAAATGGACAGAATAACAAATGATGGACTAAATTGAGCAAAAGCACAAAAGTCTGGGACTAAATTGCGCGAAACACAAAAGTCTGGGACGATATTAGATCACCAAAGTCGTTTAGGACGAAATTGAAAAAAACCACTATAGTCGAGGACGATTTTGAGTATTAACTCATATCAAATTTGATAGTAGAGTATAAGAGTTCTACACTAAACGCTACCTAGATGAAATTTCTACATTCTTTCATGCATTCACATTTAACGTGTACCAGATTAAATGAACAAAAAAAAGCACTATTAGTTACAATGATAAGATAGTAGCAATTTCTAAATTCAATTATGATCTTTGCAAAAAAAAAAAAAAATCAATTATGATTTGAATAAAAGAACAAAAAGATTACACATAAAACTTAAAAGGGCAACACAAGTCCAAAAAAAATATACAACACATTGAAGAGAAAAGGAGGGAGAGAGGGAACACGGAAAATGAGAGATATTAAGAAAGCTTATAAGTTCACGGACTTGTATATACTATATTTGTGTAAGAAGACTAGAAGAGTACCAAAATGTACAATTAAAAAAGTATAATCTAGAAAAGTAAAAATAGTAAAAACGCGTTTGAATAAAATTTTCAAAAAAAAAAAAATCACGATCAAAGTTATATCCTAATTCATGTCAATGTTTTTAGTGTTAATTAAGAGTCTTAGTAAACAGAGCTTTCGATAAACTACTCATGTTCGTGTTCGGTAAACGTTCGTTTATTAAGGTAAACAAACATAAATGAATAAATTTTAGAGCTCGCTTCATAAACGAGAAGAGTCTGAACAGTTGTAGGCTCGTTTGCTAAGAGCTCGTGACAAGATCGTTTGTGTTCATTTAATAATGTTTACGAACATCTTTATGAACAAGCAGTTAAGCGCGCGCGCACACACACATATATATAGTTGTTGTGTTGTTTGTTTGGTAATTGTTTGTGAGCATAGGTTATTTAGTGTTCACGAACGAATTGTGATCATGAACATGAGCCTGTGTTTGTTTATTAAGCGTTCATGAACATGAACGAACATGTTCACAAATGTTAACAAACATGTTCGTTAACGTTAGTGAACACGTCTGTGAACATCTTCACGAACACTAATGAACGCTAACAAATGAACACGAACACGAACAATTCAAAAGTCTTAACAAACAAACACGAACAACTTTCGTTTGTTCATGTTCGGTTCTTTAACAGCCCTAGTGCTAATCATTTTGTACATTATACTTTTAGAGTTGTACTATATACTCCGTAACTTTTTGGACAAAAATACTCATACCGTTATAACTTCCGTTATCTTTTCCATTATTGTTACCATGTACATGCATCCACCATATATTTGCTTATATTCTTTAATGATAATAATATTTGTAGACATTATATATTATATTAATATAATAAATAAATTTTATTTTATATAGATTTTAATTAGTAAGAATTTATTAGTTACAATTTTATATATAATAAATAATTCAAAATATATGGTTACAATAGATATTGTTATAATGATATACTAAAAAATAAAAATTAACTTACAATTTTTTTTAAACGTTCTCATGCATTGATAAAATTCTGAGAATGATGTGTAAAATTGTTCAATTGGAGTCAATGGGATGTCAACATTGTCTATTCTTTGAAAAATGGTCTTACTATTTTAGAGTCCAAATGTAGTTGTTCTTATCAACAACTTTGCAGTTAGGTCGCGCAAGTCTAACAATGATGTAAGAACAATTTTGTCCCATAAAAAAAAAACAATAGTACAATATTTGTAAAGTAATGTACAATTGTACCATTATAGAAATACATACAAAAAATATTAATACCATAATAACTTAAATCATTCCAATAATTAAAAAAAAAACATAATTGAAATATTGAGTCTTGTTCTAAATATTCAAAAGAAGATTAATTAAACGAAAAAAATGGAAAAAAAAAAAACATAACCTAAATTTGTTGTTTTTTTTTATTAAAAAAAATATTTATAATCTTTGATGCTCAACTTTGAATGCTTTATATTTAGTCAGACTAATTATTTGACTAAAGTTTATGTTAAATTTTATATTGTATTTTTTAAATACATTTTAACATATTCGTAGTATATGTTTAACAATTATGCGAACTCTGATTGAGATTGGGCTCGAACCTAAGACCTTTCTTATAGAAATTAAAGAGTAAGTTAAGAATAATAAATAGTTAACGGAATATTTCGTTACTAAAATTTATACTAACGGAATGCAAGGTTATTTATGAGAAGAAAATAATATAATATAGGGTAATTAAGGAAAATAATAAATAAAAAAAATACTAAAATGGGAATAATATGAACCATTCATTTCAACAAACAATTACACCAACATTTTTTTTTTAAAATTCCCGTTAAGGACATAGCTTTATTGGCTCTTTGTAGATTGTAGATTTGTAGATTTGTAGATTATATTTGTAGATATAAGAGAGACTTTTAACTTGGTTTCAAAAAAGATAAATACATTACCAAATAAATTTTATACATTTCCAATCACTTGAAAAAAATAACCCTATACCTTAAGCTAGATTTACTTTCCATGATATCATATCAAACACCTTCTAATTCAAATTGTTAGGTTTGTTCAAGTGATCAAACTAGCACGTATACCTATACTAAAAATATGGACTCAATAAATATTAAATGTGTCTAATAAGTACGACAAATCAACTAGTATAAGACTCAAAATGTGTCTACAAGTAGCAAAATTTTTGTTGTTTGCAACATAATAATTTTATTTGTTATGGTTTTTTTTTCTTTTTATAGATATGTGTGTGAAAAAAAAATACATAAGTATTTATGAAAATTTTGAAAGGTATCGTTAAATTTGAAAAGAATAGATAAAAAGTTTGTCTGGTTTAGACTGAGAAAAAAAAGTCTAGACAAAAAGTTAAAAAGTTTGAGATTAGAGGGTTGAATTTTAACTATTTATATTTATGAAGAAAAAGTCTATAAAAATCTTATTTTGGTAGAGTAAAGTTAATAAATTCTTGAATACCAATAGACTTCTAAAGGCTCTATAAAAATATGAATTGAATACCCATATACTTTTAAAGATTCTTTAAAAATATGAATCGAATACCGGTAGACCTTTAAAGAGCCTTTAATTTAAAAGTTTAGATCGAATTGAATACCATCAAACTTTTAAAGTCGTTAAAAGTGTTTAAAAATTTATAAAAGAGTAAATACCTAAAATGGTCCCTCGACTATAGCTAAATTCACAAATTGGTCCTCGACTTTCAATTTCAACCAATTAAGTCCTTAACTTTGTAATTTTAACACAATTTGGTCCTCTGTCTATTTGACTGTTTGTTGGCTGTGATTTTTTATGATATATATGTAATTTCATGGCCCATCGTCGATTTTTTAAGGTTCTGGTTGCATTTTCAGACCACACTGTTACATTTGAATCCACTGCCGAAAGTAATCTATCAAATCTGGTCGCCTTTCTTCATCCTCCCTTTCGATTCAATGTAATTGAGTTCGTACCAGAGCGAAGAAGATGACATGTTTCCGAACCAATGCAACGTCATCCTAGAGGCCTCCACGTGCTCCGATGAGAGCTGAAGATTCTTCTGGAGATCGTCGATCACATTCAACAAACGGTCAAATAGATGAAGGACCAAATCGTGTCAAAATTACAAAGTTAAGGACTTAATTAGTTGAAATTGAAAGTCGAGGACCAATTTGTTAATTTAGCTATAGTCGAGAGACTGTTTTGGGTATTTACTCTTTATAAAAGTCTTTGATTGAATATACCCCTTAGAACCATTGAGAATGATGACAATTTTTTTTTTTGAAAGTTGCTGGCTCTATTACATTGTAGTATCTGTTCATATACTTTCTCAACCTATTGAAACACAAAGAACCAATAACGCCTCCACTGAGGCTTGAACTTATAATCTTCCAAATGGAAGTCCAACCCGGATACCATTGAACCATTGAGAATGATGACAATTTAATCCAAAGAATCTTTAACTTAGATCGGTATATAAGTTCAAAAAAGTGTATAGTAACAATTAATTATTAATTAATTCTAACACTAATATCAATTCAGATCGAAATTCTACTATATATTTAGTCACTCAAAATATCGTCAAAAACTACTAAAAAATTCGTTAATTAGTCGTCATACACGTATTGAAATGACTTTGGTAAAGGACTTAAACAAATAGTTCTACTTGTGGTTGTCCAAAATAATCATTCAATCTCTATAAAATTATTATGGAACTTTTTGGGTGAATGATAGGAAGGAACATGCTGACAAGAAGGTATAGGAAAAAAAAAATTAAAAATATTTAAGCTCACAAACATGACATAAAAATATTATTCTAACTTAATTGGACTTAGATGGTAAAGTTGTTTAATCTAATTTCATGGCATAATAGGCATACAACACAAAAATGCACTCATGAAAGGGCTTCATTCAAACACCATGCACACAATGATACAAAAACATGCATTTAAAATAAAATAAAAGAACACTTAGATACCATTCGGAACAAATTAAATTACTACTCAAATTATTTATAATTCTATTTAAATTAACTAATTTACTGCTATACCAGGACTATGTGGTCCAATGGTACCCGGGTTGGATTTCCATTTGGAAGATTATGAGTTCGAGCCTCAGTGGAAGCGTGTCTTTGTGTTTCAGTAGGTTGAGAAGTGTCTTTGTGTTTCAGTAGGTTGAGAAAGTATATGAACAGATACTACAATGTAATGTGTTTCAGTAGGTTGAGAAAGTATATGAACAGATACTACAATGTAATAGAGCCAGTAACTTAAAAGAAAAACTAATTTACTGCTATATTTATACAGTACAAAATGTAAAAATCAGACTAGAAAGTAAAATATTACTGTATTTTGTATATATATTACAAGGCAAATAAATAACAATCACAACTGTTGGTTTTTATCTAGGTGGACTCATGGATTCCATGCTCTCTCCCGCATTGGTGTTCTCATACCATCATGGATAGGTGTTGCAGCTATAAACCAAAAATAAAAAAATGTAAGTGAAACAATTAAAAAAATCCCATAATAAAACCAAAGAGATAATAGATCAAAACTACCTCCGGAATCTCTCATGGGAGTCATCAAGGGATGGAGTGGAGTTTGTGAAGGATGTTGTGATTGGGTTTTACTCCCAAAACCATATGTAGATGGTTCTCTGAAAAAAAAGTGGGAGAAGTTGAAAAATATTGATAAGAAATGTTTACTACTCAAGAAAAAACTAGTAAAATAATCACATTTACCTGAATGGTGTTCTAACGTTTACGTTCTCCATAATATGACCACGATCAACTGAAAAAAAAAATATTAAATTTCATTAGCGAATTGAAGGCCATGGATAAGCAATAAAGTATTGATGGCTATTATGGCATTTAGAAACATGCCTGTAACAACTTTCATCTGAGCTTCTAATTCAACAAGGACTGAACTTCCTTTCAAATTAACAACACGTCCTTTGCATCCTTTCAATGGCCCAACTCGAATTTTAACATCAGCACCAATTAAAGCATTGTGTCCATGCCTTCCTCCAACTAATGACAACAATAATGATATAGTTTTAGTGAGAACCATAGACAAAAATGGGAACCACTAAATTGCAATATTAAATAAGGATCAATACGATTCAAATACTTAAGGAAGACATACAATTTTTGGGTGGACCACCCCTGTACGATCTCACTGGAAATTGTGAAACACGCCCAAAGCTTGATGAGAAAGGACCAGCCTAAAGAAGTTACAATATAAGATGTTAGAGCATGATATAATTGCACATGGATGCGAGAAACTATAGTAATTACAATAAAAAATGGAACCCTGATGAAGATGATTAGATTAGATGCATACTTTTCTATCAGCATTTGGCCTTGATCCACCAAACAAAACACAAGATTGCGCCTTGGCACATATAAAGCCACCATGCTCAAGGTGATGACGGTCATAAATAAACACCATTCCTCTGTATATGTGCTCCACTGGCCCTTGTTTTTCCTGTTAATTAAAGAGAATTAGAGGATTAATTATAGTCCAATTAGTAATGTAAAAATTAAGCACATCCAAGAGAGCAATATAATATATATAATGCACACCTTGTAAGGTCCCTCAAGAATCTTGACCACATCTTTAACTGCTAATCCATTCTGATACCGATCATGTGCACTCCCTTTCTTGTAAACCTTGGCTTTTATCTCCCTTAGACTCACAAGTGCTACCTCACCTTCTTTGGGAACCCCCTTAAGAACCTGGAAACCCTCACTCTCTACTCCTATAATCACACCAAAACTCTTATCCCTGCATAACAATACCTTAGTTATGATTCATTAAAAGATTAAATTAAACTATATATTGGGAGGGAGGGAAGGAGGGTGAAAGAACTGCTTACTCTAGTAGCACAAGGTCATGGAGCTCATAGTCCCCGATTCGAGTGGCACCACATGTTACTTCAGAGCTTACCACAACAGTGTCAGCAAATACACGTATCTGCAGAAAACATGAATGGCAAATTGCATTATTATAAAGAAAAACATATATCTTCAAGCTAAGACAAGTAAGTGAATATATAGGTTTTTGGTTTTGTGTCCTTTATAGGTAAAAAGAGGTAGTTCTTGACTTACAATCTCCTTAGTGGTATCAGAGACTAGGTTCACCACATGCCCCTCAACAGATACAACCATACCAGTCGCACCTTCAGACGCACCTGATATAACTTTTACGTGGTTTCCACGTTCAAAGTACTTGCAAAGCTCCTTGTCACAAACCGCAATTGTTTTCTGCCAAAGAAAGAGCAAGCCAGCAAGTTGCTAATTAGTTGTCCTTTCCCTCAATAGGGAGTTTATTTAAATAGAATAGAACCATTATATACATACAGGAAGGTTCATTTCTTTTGGTCTGATGTGAACAGTATTTTCCTCTACTTTCTCAACACATCCTTTCAGGTTCTTCAAATCCCCTTTCACCACAATCACTCGATCACCCTTCATAAAGTGACCTTTCTTCCTATTCGCAAATAGAGTCGACAAACTACCCATATCACTTTCACCAGGTTGACGAAACTTCTCAAGTTCATCAAAACTTGGCTCAATATTCTGACTGCTAATTGATTTCATAGCCATTGTTTTGTATAGAAATCCATCTTTGAACATCATGCCACCAATCTTGTCAAAATAGTCACCCGTCATTGGGTCTCGCCTACGCTCAACACGTACATTCATCTTTCTGAAAATATAAATAAAAATTAAACACATTATATTAATGAAACAAAATGACCACCCATCCAATAGTTTAAGATGTTAATTAAGGAAAAAATTACCGAGCCTCATCTATGTTCATTAAACGTGGGGGAGGAATGATTGCTTTTCTCTTAGGAACTTCCATCCCTTCCTATAAAACAAAAGAAAGCCATAATCAATACATGCAGGTCAAAACAAAAAGCTAAGTAAGAAGTGCAAAGAAAGGCAAATACCAATTTGTTTGCAAGAGCTTGTAAGTCAACCCTTGGGATTAACTTCACAGTAACTCTCTGTATCACATTGTCTACATCCACAACCTAAAGAAAGAAAACTTAAGTATTAGAAAGAGAATTAAGTTTTAAGTTTTCCAGACAGATATATATACATTGTAACAGAGTTAATAGTACTCAAAAAAAGTTAGAAACGAGAGTTGACCACTTTACCTTTGCAAGGTCCCCTTTATAAGTTCCAGTCTTCATTCTGACCCAAGTATCCCTGGCAAGATCAACTGCTTTGCTTTCAACACAAAGGACACCAGTCATCTCTTTGATTGGAACAAGCATTATTTTTGCAGGATATATCATCCGCATATTCTTGCATGCCTCTCTAACATGGGCCTCTTTGTGTGCTTCAATGTATATATAGTTTTGAAGATGATCAAGTGCTATAACAGACCTAATCTGCAAGTCTGCTCCCCTCTCAATACATTTCTGCATCAGACACACAGCAACCTCCCTCTCATGACCAATCTACAATGCACAAACACACACACAATAAGAAAGAAGCTAAGCAAGGTCAGGTTTCTGGTAGATTATTATTCAGTATCGTTAGATTATTTAGATCTAACATTTCCATAAGGTGAAATCTCAAGTACAAGCTAGATAGCCCTAACGAACACGTACCGCACATTTGACCATCCATAACTTGGGATCTCTGACTACACATGGTAAAAGCGCTTGCTGGTCTACATCATCACTAGCTTCCTCATCATCATCACTTGACCTTGCATATCTAGCCTGGATGCTTCTCTCAAGTGCCTCAAAGTCTTCTTCTTCGTCGAGAATTGGGCGATGACGATCAATCTGTCTTGAATCATATTCTTCAGCAATATCAGCTCCAGCATCCACAATGAAGTCTGTACGTGCATGCATTCAACAATACTATCATTAGCATAATATATAATAATTCCCAGTTAACTAGCAATATCAACAGTAGAGACAAATTTAGAAGTATAAAGGCCAAAATTCATTAACTAATGATGAAAACACATGTTTAATAGATAGAAAAGTTCTAACCATCTTCGCCATCTTCTTCTTCTTCTTCGTCATCCTCGCTATCCACAGCGGCCTCAAGATCAAAGAAATGAGACCCAGACCTCTTCTTGTTACGTTTACCACCTCCATAGTCCTCGTCCTCTTCATCTTCATCATCTTCGTCAATGTAATCCGATCTCGAGCGCTTCTTCCCGGCCTTTCCACAGCCGTCATCATACTCCTTCTCTTCCTCTTCCTCATCATCCATCTCGTAGTCGTCCTCCAGCTCCAACTCCTCCTCATCCTCCTCGTCACGCCTCCTCGCCATGGTTAATTTTCTTCCGAAATTCAGAGAAGAGTGAAAAAGTTGATTGTGTTCGAAAATTTTATAAACTTTTTGCGTGAAATATATAAGGAACCACACTGATGTCGACGATATTTAACGCAGCGAAAAACTTAACTCTAATATTACTTTAAGTGAGAAACTTTCTACTTCTTATGCTCTCATGGCAGAATATGGAGAATTGAAGGCGTGAGCTATTGTTCTTGGAGGTCTATATATAGTTTTTCGACCAACTTTCTTTTCTTTTATCCTTGTGAGAGGGTGAATTCCTACATTGATTGGGATTCGTATTTTAACTTCTTGATTTGTGACTTCTACGCTTTTGACTAGGATTAAGATTTTATTTATTTTTGTCAATAATTTAGGACAATTGTTTTGATTAAGATTTTATTTATTTTTGTCAATAATTTTGGACAATTGTTTTGAGTCAACATTATGTGTTAACCCTGCTATGCACCAAAAAAATGAAAAAATATTAAAATATATAAAATAATAATATAGTTGAACTTTCATATACTTGATAAGTATCTATTTTTATAGCATACAAAATTAAAATTAAAATTTTGTATAGTTAATATAATCTATAATTATGTACATATTTAAATAAATTTATAGAAAAAAATACATAATTAAATTGATTTATTCCTGTTGAGAAATGATGAAAATGCATTTCAAATAAAAAGGGAATAGACAAATTAAAATAAATGTGACATAAAATTAATGCATGTGCAAATTTGGTGGAGAAGTGCACCAGACTGGTTGTGCATAAATTAGAATAAAATGTTAAACTAAAATTAGTGAAAAAAGTCATATGAAGATGTCCAATTTCGTGACTACATAAGAGAGGAAGCACAATAGTACGTGACTTAGGCTAATTCTGAACATATAATGTTTATGTTTATCTCTATGTGTATTATGAACATAAATTTTGTACATTATAAATATGAATTTCGTACACTATGAAGTTAAATTATGTCACAATATAACGATTGGTTTTTTGAAAAACTGGACAATTGAAAAACAGAATGTTCTATCATATACTTTTCTCACCGTTATCTACTCATATATTTATTTATTACTTTGATTACATTCATTATCATATTCTTTTACTTATCACCCTCTCCTATCTTTTCTACTTGTATTACTTATTTAAACATAACTTATTTGCTTACGCTTAAAGTTAGATATTAGTCGCATTATCAAAATTAAAAATTAAACTCTGATCTATACCAAATTTTAGATTTTGATTGAACTTAATTGATTATTGATTCATATATTTTTAGTTATGTTATATCGTAATACAATTTGGTTCGGATATCATATATTGAAATTTCACATAAATTAGAATTCAAAGTAAAAATTATATATTTATTTACATGTCATTCAAATTAATATACAAAAATATTTTAAATATTAACTAAAAAAATATTAGTATTATTTAAACTAAATTTTAGGTGAACTTAATACTTTATTGGTTCAGATATACTTTTAGTTATGTTATATACAAATATAAATTTGGTTCGGATATCAAATATAAAAATATTAAATATTAACCCATGGAGGGGGAGATACTGATGCAGAGCTGTGCTACCAGCAGCTTGCAGCTGGACTCTAAGCGGCGCTGGTGAATGAAATGATTAGTGGACTATTTTGATGCATTTGAAGAAAATAGTTGCCTTCCGTTCTCATGAACGACCTTCAAGTTCTGCAATGAAAATTCAATCTCAGCAATTATGAGGAGAAATAAATAATAGAAACAACAGTGTAAATCAATGGCTCATTGAAGTCATGTGCAAGAGAGGTCAATATACCTCGGTCCGAATGGTGAAGACCTCTTTGAACTCCTTTGTGGAGTTCATTAAACGATTTTTAAGGTTGTCAACAACCATGGTTGTATGGGTGGTCGTGTCACATGCTTCCACTTTCATTTTGCAAGTTGCTAAGAAGCTGCAGATTTACTACAGCGGCATTAAGTGCAGAGATGTCCTGCTTGATCACAGGTGTCAACTCTGAATCTCTACTATTGGATCATAAAAAAACTGATGTTCTTTTTGCCACTGTAAGGACATAAATAATTAGGATTTTAAGAACCTAATTGTGAAATTGTTGGCTCTGTGATTATGGGGGAAAAATGATTAACACAGTTGTATGGTATTCAAGGAACTACTTTGCATGCATCCTATACATACGATAGAGAAAAGTGCGGCGTGAAGACATTGTCGGCTCAGAGCATCACGGTGATGAACAAAGTTTGGAAGATTACAGATGGTGAAGTTGTTTTAAAGGAGAATATATAAGCTGAATTGACACAAATACCCCTCATTTAGATGGTCAACTAATGACATAATAGACGGAAGACAAAAAATGTCCTCGTCACAATAAGGATGTCCATAAAATGGCAAAATTTTTGTTTGGAGGACCAAAATTGTCTGTGTCACTATAAGTCTATGACCAAAAATGTCTTTTACTCTTAGTAAATATACTAATGGAATTAAAATTTTGCATGTAACTACTCTTTCTCTCCATTTCTGTTTTTCTTTTTACATTTTATTTTTCAACAAAAAAAAAAAAAAATACCATTCTTTTGAATAACGAAAGAAACAGGCCTGGTAGCCAATATGTAGTTACCATTACAGCCATTAGTCCACAGATTGACCAACCATACCATTTTTGTTTACTATCTACAACAAGTTGATGTTAAGGGGGGATATTGGTTGCAATAATATGATGAAGACATGATACAATGCGATAATATGATGAAGACATGATACAATGCGATAATCTGATACAACTAACGAGGCAAATTTACAGCTTCCTACATCATAATCTCATTATTGCATGACGATGTCCTTTATACTACCAGTCTACCACCAGCCCTTTATACTACCAGTCTACCACCAAGTAACCTAATTGCAAATGACGCATTACTAATCAAAAAAAAAAAAGATGACAAGTAATGAAGATCGATGAAAACAATGACAATACTGCCCAAAAGGGAACTAAGAAAGACTTAGAGAAATTCAAATAAAAAGTAATAATTATTTAGACTAAGTATTTAAACTAGCATTTTTACAAAATTGTAAAACATTTATTTTTAATGACAATTATAATCAATTTCTCCTATATTATCTTGCATTTATATACTTTGAATTACCGATTTAAATAAACAAATTCAACAATCAATTATATATGCATGAACATCTCCTATATAATCTTGCATTGATATACTTTGGAGTACTTATTTAAAAATAAAAATTGGGCATTATTCTATTTGTGCAATGCATGTGAAAAACTAGTGTAAAGTAAAAGAAGACAATTCCAGTGAGCATGTCACAACAAAAGTGAAACCCCAGTAACTAGCAATATCAATAGGGGACAAACTTAGAACTATTAAAGGGTAAAATTCATTAACTTATAATGAGAATACATGTTTAAAGTTAAGTTTAATGTTTTTTAGAGTTATCAATTTATCTACTAATGACTAGTTTAAAGTTAAGCTTATTTTGATAAATAATTCTAATAGAACATTCTAACCATCTTCTCCGTCTTCTGCTTCATCATCATCGCTATCCATCGCTGCCTGAATTAGAAGTAAATATATATTTAACTTTAAAATTTATTTACATCAAAATATTATTTTGGTATTCTCCAATATCTCAAGTTGTCATTGCTTGTTAGGTTCTTATTCTACCTATATGAAAAAGCATTATATTTTATACAACAGGTATACAAGTTTATCAAGCATAACTATTTATATTGATGACAGTAGTTGATTTTCTTATATTGAATTGAATTTGTAATAAAAAAAAAAAAATTAGTTGATATCATTAAAAAATTATGAATGAATCAACCAAAAACATTCAAACATGCAAAATTTGTTGTGCACAAGAAAATGAAAGACTCATTGGGAATTGAAATGGTTTCATTCATATGAAAAATGCTATTGTTTTATATTCATTACATATTCGTGATTTGATTTTGAACTTATATATGTTTAACATATCAACAATGCCTTTTATATTGTGATATAAATATAAATTAGATAAAGTTATTGTATACTAAATTAATAATATCTATATATAAAATATATAAAGTTATTGTCTACTTTTTATATATCATTTAATTAATAAATTAAATATTTTTTAGTCTACTTTTTAATGAATCATTCAATTAATGTAGTATACAAGCTTATATTATGTCAAGAAGCTTGTGCATAAATGACAAGAGGCGTTGTTAGCTCTTTGTGCTTCATTAAGTTGGGAAAGTATGTTTGAGCAGATACTACAATGTAATAAAGTCAGTAGCATTCAAAATTCTTCTCCCAAAATTGTAAAAAACCTAAACTTGATCTAACTAAAAGAAATTAAAATTAAAAAGTATTTATGAATATAGTGTCTTTTCAACTCAAACTATTTTATCTAACTGATTATGTTTCATATTTTGTCAAATATTTTAATATTTCAAAGTGTTTTTAAAATTTACCCCACTCAAGTATATGTTTGGCTCCGCCCCTAACTATCATGTAGTCTATCATAAACATTGTATTGTAATTTATAATGTATTTTGTATTTTAGTAACCATATTTTCAACCGATTTTTAATAAAATCCTAAACAAATTAAATCGGTTGAAACTGGAAAAGTAACAAAAAAAAAAAATAAAAGAAATAAGGGTCAAATTGACCACTCAACTGCGCACCAAATTGCAATTGTGTCATCGAACTCAAAAAGAATGCAATTGGGTCCCTGAACAACGCAAGTGCATGCAATTCCATCCAAATTGACTTGTTTACCTGGAAAGGTGGTTACCGAATTTTTTAAAATATTTTTAAAATAATTTTAAATTTAAAAAAAAAAAAAAAAAAAAAAAAAACCTTCGTCTCCGCCGGAGAGGGCCTGAGAGTTGCCTGCCACTTTGTCTCCGGCGGAGACGAAGTGGCAGCTTCGTCTTCGGCCATCTCCCCGGCCATGGAGACGCCCTAAGACGAAGCAACTTTCGTCTCAGGCCGTTTCTCCTGCCAGGGAGACGGCCTGAGACGAATGGAGACGAAGATCCCTTCGTCTCCACCGGAGACGACGTAGTTTATTTATTTATTTAAATTTTAGTTTTTTATTTAAAATTATTAAAAAAATATATTTTAAAATTCGGTAACCGTCTCTCCAGGTAAACATGTCATTTTTGGATTGAATTGCATGAGTTTGCGTTGTTCAAATACCCAATTACATTCTTTTTTAGTTCGATGGCCTAATTGCAATTAAGTGCGCAGTTGAGTGGCCTATTTGACCCTTATTCTAAAATAAAATTATAAGAAACAAAAATGCCCTCACTAAAAATAAAAAAAATAATAAAAATGACTAAAAGTGTTCAAAAATAATAATATGAGATATTAAATAACAACAATAATAATCTGGGATTAAATTTGAAATTATCACTAAAATAATAGACCTTTCGTGGAATTAACTCTTAAAAAAAGTTTAGTATAGAAAACTAAAATAGTAAAAAAGGCGTTGAAAAAAATTGTATATCCGATATTGGATCCAAATGTGCTATGGAGGAAATGCTTTAATTTACATCCTAATTAGTATTTAAACCTGTTCATATGGAATAAAACCAATAGTTATTGCGTGAATTGTAGTTTACACAGTTCATGCAAGTTGTGTAGATCACGGTCCCAAAACGACGTCATTTTGTTTAGTTTTATTTTTTTACGTGCTTAGTTACAACATACATTTTTATAGCTCATAGTGTACATTATTTTAAAACATAATGTACATTATTCTAAAGTATAATGTACATGTTTCATTATTCTAACATATAATTTATATTATTCTAACACATAATGTATATTATTTTTACTCATAATATTCACGATAATATTTTTAAACCGTGGTCCACACAATAATTTGCCAATAAACCAATAAAGGCCCATCTCATTAATTACTTCGGATATGGGCCTGAAAATTCTCAATCTGGCCTAAATATCAAATAGTCTTTTCTTTCAGGGAAGAAAGCTTGGGAAAAAAGCATACGAAGAAGAAATACATAGGGATTAGAAGGAGGCTAAGCTCAGAGTCGACTCACTCAATTCTGAAAATCCAGTGCTCTGCAACTCATCAGGTTTCTCTCTCAATCTCTCTATACTTGAACGTGTGTTTTTGTTAAAATTATTTTTGCCTGTTGAGGTTCGTTTGGATAGTGATTGATTCCCTGAAAACTCGATTAACCTGCAAAATTTGCTAGATTTTGAATGTAAAGGTGAACAGAACCGTGCCGATCTGACGGGAGATTAAAATTTGATAGAAATATACTATTCTTTTATAAATTTCTTTTGGCGATCTGAGAATCTTAAAGGGGGGTGAATAGGTGTTTTTCTCTCTTTAATCCCCGTTTGAATATATGGTGTTTATTTTTTAGGCATTTTAACGGATTCATAAACTGAAATGTATTTATTTTCATATATAGAATCACAGGAAACCTTTAAATATTAATTTGAACATTTGTTAAGGGGAAATATACAACTATCATGTTACTGAACAGCACTCTGAATGGTTTAATTATGACATCAATCTCTCAGCATTATGCTTACAGTAATGGTTGCTGAGTTATTGGTTTCTCTAACTCTCTTAGTATATATAAATTCACTACCAACCCTAATTCACTTCCTCAGTCATCTGAGCTGCCAAGAGCCCAGTGAAAAGAAACCATTCTGCAAGAA